GTTCTGTATCCAAAAGTACTAACCTGCTTAGGATTTATAGAATGTAAATAAATTCAATTCAATTCAATTCAATATGCAAGCTGCCAAAACACCCTGGGAAGACATACATTTATGAACAATGGACGACACTCTGTGTGAGGTGAAATAAAATGCACCAAAATAATGTGGGTATAATAGAAACTTTAAAGGATTTTATCTTATTTTACCTTGAAAAGAGAACTACAGTGTGTGATTTTAACATGGACTAACACAGTGTAGCAGTCTTAACATAATTTAATAAAATATTTGTAACATATCAAGACACCTGAAGATGGCCGTTTGGGGCCGAAACATGTAGTGTCAAAGTGTATAATGTTAAATTAAAATTAAGTAGTGAATAAACAAGTGTTGCAATATTGATGGACAATAAATACATGGATGTTAAGTTAAATAATTGCAACAGGATGCTGAAATACAGAAATACAACACTTGATACTCACCATAACAAACAATACTAAGCAACATCCTATACCCTACACTTAGTGGCGCTATGATGCAACCAGCATTAAGACTGGAGTTTACTGCCTTGCCTTTACTCACACCACCACCACAAATACAAATTTGAGAATTTTTGCCAAATGAAAAGTCAGTCAGTACACAGTCAGAAGCAGCTCATAGACACTTATGCTTCTGCTCCACATTTGGGTGTTATAATTATTTGTAAAATCATAATATTATTGTCATGTGTAGGGTGGTATGCATGACAAAAATAATGGGTTCTAGATCAGATGACTGAATTTACTGGCACTTGGGTTTCAATCGCTCTTGATTACAATTATTACAGCGCTACCACTGATTTACACACTTTCCACTCCACTGCTGCACATGCACTACATATTGACCATTTGCTGCCTATGTCCTTCACTCCCTTTCTGCCTTTGTGGCACATCCACACTCTCTCCCTGAGTGTCTGGACTCTTCGGATCCCTTGCTCATCCTTGGTTCTGGTCCACTTATTCCGGACGATGTTCCTCTTGCAGCACAGGCAGCAGTCAACTTCCTCCCAAATCCACAATCTCCTTGGGTCAGTTAATTTGGTTTTCCACATTGCCCTGCAGTTGGCTTCTGGCCCCTGAGAAGCTTCTTCTGTTGTTTGACTGATTTCACTACTACATCTTCCCTAGGAATCAGCCAATGTTGTAACTCAGACTCCATTTCCTCAGAATCTGCCTTCAAATATGTCGTCTTGCTCGCTTCTCGGTTGGCCTGCATCTCTTTTTGCTAGCCATCCAGTTTGGCAGATAGAAAAACAAACTGTTTCCATTATTTCGTTAATGTGTTCTTGGCCAGCTCTTATTTCTTGTTTCATTTCATCTCTGTCAGTTTTTCTGGCAGCCTCCATTATGGAGACTATTGAACCTATCTACCTCTCCATCGTTTCTTGCACTTTTTCTTGGGTAGCATCCATTTTGGTGTTCATTTTGGCTAGTATGGCTTTCAGGAATTCCATGTTTTTCATTTTTGTCAGTTGGCAGCAAATCCAATACCATCTGAACCGCCAACTTCTGACACCAAAATGTCAATTACTTATGGTCGTAACAACTGCTGGTGAATCCAGTATGATCCCAACATCCCACTTCTGACACCAAAACGTCACGTGTAAGGTGGGATGTGTGGCAAAAATAACAGGTTCTAGATCAGATGACTGGGTTTATTGGCACTTTGGTTACAACCTCTCTTGATTACAATTATTATTGGCTATCACTGATTTACACACTTTCCAGTCCACTGTTACACATGCACTAGGATTCTGATTTCATTAATTGACTCCTAGCAACGGATCTCAACTCAGAAATTAGCGCTTCAAATCACTATGACATCTTCTTGCTATTTCATCTTCAATCACTCTGGCACATCAGAACCAAACTGAAACTCTTCTGGACTCACTCCTCCAGCTTACGACTGACTCGTAACGAATTCTTCCACTCCCTTATCTTATAAGCACTCTGCACAGACAACACAGAAAATAATGTCTCTATTGTTGATTATGTCACACTTTCATAGCAAGGTCTGATAGGCGGAAATGTGTTTACTGAGCCGTGGCTTAGAAAAGGGTTGCATAAACTCGCTGTTCCACTGCTGCTCGTCATGGAAAACATAGAAAATGGAGCCTCATTTACTGTCGTGTGCTGGACCATGTTTACACGGCTGTTGCCTGGCAATGTGTTAATCCAATCTGTTACAATATAAATTGCAAGTTAACAAGTGACACATTTAATTCCACTCCTACTGACAGCAGTCTCATTATATTTCAAACCTAGATATTTTTTACTACTTTCTGAATTATTTCATGTATGTTCATCTGGATATCATGATCAAACTTATAAATCCAAAGATGAGCCTCACTGCTTCCACCCTGAAATTGAAAAGGTTCAGTTTCAATGATAACAAACTGTATTTAACCTTTATGAGCCGAAAGACACCATATGGGGACTTTAAAGTAAAGCTGAGTGGTCGAACGACACCGTATTGTGACTCACAGTCCACGCGTGCACACAGTGTTTTAAAATCTAATTTTAAGATAGAAATTCTTGTTCTACTTAGATTATTTTTGGACACCAGCTTTATAATGAGACTGTCTTCCCTCCTGCATCATCTAACTGAATGTTGCATGTTAACTGAATGCAGAGTCCAATGTCGCAATTCATGCACTTTGTCCGTATGTAACTCTGTTTTCCACGCAAAGCGCACACACGCAACATCAGTCTCGTATTAGCAGGAAGTAGGCTAGTGATGGTGAGTGGTCTCCTCTATTCATAACGCTTATAAAACATCGCAATTTCAACTATGCACCATGGCCCCATTTCGCATGGAAGAAGCCGAAATTGAGGGGCCGCTCATAAATCACACCATTCAGAATGCGGTACAGTCGATTCTGAAGGGATGAGGACGCAAGGGGCATTGAGGGGATATTCCAAGAACAGTACCTCTGTGTTTTTAGTCCGACATATAAACAGACAGAATTTCATAAGGACAAAGTAGGATAAGAACTCGCCCACACTCGTGTATATAGTAAGCCGAAGTGACTGGAGAATGTGCAATGAAAACATAAACTTCCTCTCCTCTTGCCAGATAAAATATTGTAACGTGTCGGCAAACCAGAGGAGTAACTTCTAGGGAAACGCTAGAATGGACCATTACATAGGAAGTAACAATAGCGGCACTGTAACCCCAACAGTGAGCCGTTGTACCGAGAACATCGAATCTCCACGGTTACGAGAATACTCGAAGGTTCCCACAGAGACAATGCGATAACAATGGGTTATTGCGTAGGAAATGCGGAGCCAACAAAGCGACGCTTCCACTGTTATAACAAAGGGTTTGTTGCCTAACAGCGGGCAAGGTTATAAATAGCCCAGCTTCGACGAGAAGCCTCCAAAGAAGAAAGCCCTGGAATATCCGCTGCAGAAAGGAGTCTGCTATACACCACCAGCGAAGCCAGTCCAGTGTCGCCGAGTTATAGTAAGCAGTGATCGCAACACTGCGGGTGTAAATGATTGTGTAAGCATGAAGGACAATAAATGTTCTACAGAATTTGAGGCCTACGTGAACTTATTCGTAGCGTGACAGACGAAACACGCTACATTGGTGTCAGAAGTGACTTCGAACTTTAACACGCGTCCTTCACAAAAAAAATAATGGACTCACAACAGATAATGGAACTCCTGCTGGCCATGCGAGAAGATAGAAAAACCGACAAAGAAGAAATGCTGGCAAGAATGGACACCAACATGAGGTCCTACCAAGAAACGATGGAGGCCAATAGAAAAGCTGACCAGGCCAAGGCGGAAGCCAGACACAAGGAGCTGATGGCCGATTGGAAAGCCTGGGGGGAAGAGAAGAGAACCACCCACGAGAAGATTGAGCCCCACCCAGAAGCGATGCAGTCCGTACTGGAGCATCGAGAGGTCCCCGTAGAGGACGCCCCGAGAATGCCGGTCAGAGGGCCGAGGAAGTGGCGTGGGGACCGGGGGCTGACCGCGGAGCGCCGCCGCCGGAGAGGGGGGGGTTCGGCAGGGGAGAGTCGTGGACCCCCGAAGGAATTGGCCGTCACAAACAGAAGGACATCCCGTCGCGCGACAGTGGCACGACGTTGGAGAAAGGACTTCAAGAAGGAAACTCCCAAGGGAACCTTCGGATGCCGGAGAAAGGACTTGGCGCCACGACCCCGTACCAGCAATTGGCGGGAAGAACACAAGGAACGACGTCAGCAAGTTCAAACCACACTTCAGATGCTGTTACGTCGATATAAGAAACACCCGAGGAAGTTAAGGGCCAAGAATTGGATCTTATGGAGGGGTAGGCCCCCTCCAAAGCGGAA